ACCCCAACCCCAGTCGACTTTTTTTGTTGAAGGAAATGAGAGACTCTGTCGCCAAGGGAACCAGCTCCACCTTGAAGAGTCCCTGGTTTCCGACTTTTTGGCCAAGAGCCAAGTCACTGTGGTGTCTATTTTCTTTTCCTGTTTTCTTTGAAATAATAATAAAAAGAGGTTCACGGATGGGATTAGCGGGGGACACATCTAAAGACTGGCAATGCCACCGTCTCTTGAGACGTACTGTCAATAAGACCCGACCAGCCCTTGCCCTCCGCAGAGGAGCCAGGAGCACAGAAGCCAGGGACCCGCAAAGGCCCACCACGGCTGCTCAAGGCAAAAATGGAAACTGGAATTCTGTATGGCTGGGCGCGGGGGCTCACGCCATCATCCCAACATTTTGGGAGGCCGAAGTGGGAGGATGGCCTGAGCCCAGGAGTTCAAGACCAGCCTGGGCAACACGGCAAGACCTCATTTCTAGAAAAAAAATTTAAAATTTAGTCGAGTGTGGTGGTGTGCACCTGTCGCCCCAGCTACTTGGGAGGCTGAAGTGGAAAGATCACCTGAGCCCAGGGAGTAGAGACTGTGCTGAGCTGTGATTGTGCCACCGCACTCCAGCCTGGCAGCCACAGAGTGAGACTCCAACTCAAAAGAAAAGAGAAATAATTCTGCTATAAGGACGCCAAAAACGGTGTCACCTGAGTGCTGCTAGAGGTGCCCAAGTGATTTCTTAAACTCAAGAAGTCTTGGATATGTTACGCTGAGTGAAAGGGTTCAGTCACAAAACCATAGATACAGTGTGACTCCCCCGCCGTGAGGGGCCATGAGCATAGACTCAGAGACAGGAAGCAGGACGGTGCGCAGCAGACGGGTGGCACGTGCCTGTAGTTCCAGCTACTTGGAAGGCTGAGGCGGAAGGATCACCGGAGTCCAGCAGGTCGAGGCTATGGTGGCCGGGAGCGGCCACTGCACTCCAGCCTGGGCGACAGAGTGAGACTCCGACTCAAAAAACAAAAAAAGAAAACGCAGGAAGAAGTGGGCGTCAGGATCTAGTTCCCATGTCCACCCGGAGGACTGGTGCTGTGGAGCTCCTGCCCATGCTCTGGGCTCACGTGGCTTCACTAGGACACCATGGAGGACACACCAGCCTCCACAGTCCAGTCTCACTGAACCTCTGAAAAGCAGCAGAAGGATGCCCTGGGGCCTGGTTCCCCGAGCCTGGCCTCCCCTGGCCCTCGCGTCACAATCCGCCTCCCCTGGAAGAGGGGTGTCCCTGCGGCAGGCAGAACAGGCCAGGGTGCGCCTGGTGCTCAGAGCAGCCCCAGCCCTGCCCCCAAGGAGACCCCCAAGCTCCTGGCCTCTGGCTAGCCTCTCAGCAGACATCTTGCGGAGAGCGAAGCCTAGCCTCTGGATTTCCAGGCATGGGGAGGGGGGTGAGGGAGCATGCCTGTCCCTTCTTTCGTGGCAACTAGAGAAAGAGGATGGACCAGCCGAGAAGCCAGCGCGCAAGATTATCACGAGGGAAAAGAAGATGGGGCAGCCTCCGGCCCAGCTCCAAGGACAGGCAGGCCTGACTTCCTGGCAGTCAGCCACCAGTTCCCCCAGGCATCCTCGGCCGGCGCAGGGTCTCCCGAACTGCCAGAGCCCCAGGGACCAGAGATCTCAGGCCCCAATGAGCGTGACCCTGTGCCAGCGCTGGGACCCAGGAGGGGTGGACGCCAGTCTTCCCTTGGGGAAAAGTCGGACCCTCCGCTGGGGAAACGGAGGCCATGCTGTGTGCTGTGCGGGGGTCCTAACAGAAGTTGGTGGCAGGGAGAGTGCCCAGCTGGGGTTCCCACGGCCTGACATCACCGCAAAAGAGCCTGTAAGGGCGGGGGGAAGGAGTGGACGGCCACTCCAGCTTTTTCTTGTTTTCTGAGCCGAGATCCCACTCAGGGTCGCACCAGCCGGGAGGGCAGGGATGGAAGCGCTCGGCCACTGGCTCCCAGGCACCCAGCCCAGGCCCTGGCACAACACGAGGGCTCGGTCCACGAGACGTGCTCACTGACTCATTCCACAGACCCACCCAGGCCAGAGTGCGGTGGCTGATCACAGCACGCAAGCTCACCACAGCCTCGACTCCTGGGCTCAGGTCATCCTCCTTCTGAGCGTCCCGAGTAGCTGGGGTGCAGGTATGCGAGGAGCGTTCAGAGATAGGAGGTGGGTTGAGGAGAGTGGGCTGGTGGGAGACGGGAGGGGGACTCCTGAGAGGGGCCTCCCAGACAAGCCACTGCTCTATTCGTCACCTCTACAAGGCCAGCCTTCAGAGCCTGGAAGTGACCTGGCCACACCCTCCTCCCTGTCCCGGACGACCGTCCCCGGCCTGGCTTTGGTGGCATTCCGCACAGCCGGCCCCCTGTGCTGGCAGGGCTCCCCGCATCTGTGTCCGGCCGGTAGGGCAGGCTGACGTCAGTCCACCCGTGGCTCTCAGCAGCCAGCACGACACCCGCCATGACACAAATGCTCGATCCATAGACTTTATTCACAGATTCATTCAACAGACAGGTGAGGACCGGCTGGGCCAGCGTCCCGCCCTGCCGCAGCTGCTTGGACGCACCACCGCTTCCTCCCGTGCCCGTGAAGCCACGGCCTGTGCACGTCTCAGGGCACCGGGTGACTTGTGGGCCCTGTGGCGGCGGCTGTGCTGCTGGCATGGCCTCAGAGGCCCAAGTCTGGCCGTGGCCTCCGTGCCTCCCGCTTGGCTGAGCACCAAGTGGTTCGCTTGCTCTCGCTGCCTCTCAGGCCTGGAGCCGCGGTGTGCGCAGAAGACACGACGGCTGCTTGGTTTGGGGGAATGGGTTTCACTGAGTAATAATGTAACGGGTGGTCCACACTGCATGGTGGGGCGGTGACAGGACTGTGCAGGAACTGGCAGAGGGCTTCCGAGACAATGCTGGGCCTCTCTGGGGCTTTTAAAAACTCTTTTGGATCAAGGTCTTACTCTATTGCCCAGGCTGGAGTGCAGTGGCATGATCGCAATTCACCACAGCCTCAACCTCCTGGGCTCAAGCCAGCCTCCCGCCTCAGCCTCCAGAGTACCCGGGACTAAAGGCACACCACCACCACACCTGGCTGTTTTTTCTAAATTCTTTGTGGAGACAAGGTCTCATTATGTTGCCCAGCCTGGCCGTGAACTCCTGAGCACCAGCGATCTTCCCGCCTCGGCCGCCCAAAGTGCTGGGAGCCACCATGCCCAGGCACTCTCCAAGCCTTTGGAAAGATGCTTCCCTGCAAACACTGGCAGCCTGGAAGTCAGGAGACTGCGTGAGGCCCAGTGGAGCCCCCAGCTGGACTTAGGCAAGTCATTCGTGTTGTCACCTAACATGTGCCCCTTCTGGGCATCTCTCCTCATCTGAAAAGGGCCCTCCAGTGCCACCGTGCATAGGTCGATCCTGCCCCAGGGGCCAGGGCTGGAGAGAGGCATCGACAGGCATACGGTCTCCCAAGCCGTCTGGCCCTAGAGAGGGCCCAGGCCACCGAGCAGGGACACCTGGGTCGGGATCCCTTCCGCTCCAGTCCTGGTGACAACGACCTGGGAAGCTGAGGCGGTAGAGGAGCACAGGCCTCGGGGCTCCGTTCCCTCCATGGCACGCTGGACCACGGCGAGTCCCTGAACGGGTCTGAGCCTGAATCCTCACCTGCACCATGGGAGCCTCTGTACCCAAGGGTCTTGAGACGATGAAGGAGATGACACAGGGGGGGAGGGGGTGTGCCCGGCATCAGGCCTGACCCAGAACGAGGCGCAGAAAATTCTAGCTGTTGTCAGAATAGATATTTCTTATGGCTTAGACTCACGCAGCTCGAGGGCTTTGAGAAATACGGAGGTTGTCGGGGCCCTAGGCGTCTTCGCAAAGCTCCTCCTGCAGAGATGAGGGAGCTGAGGCCCTGAGGGGGGGAAGCACCCCAAGGCTGACAGCAGACAGATGGCCCTGAACAGGTGCCCCAACTCCCACACGGGACTGAGGACCCGGCCCCCATGAGGGCCCTGGCAGGCAGGTTCCGCCCCGTGACCTCCTTGGCTGTGGAAACCTGGACGTCTGGCTCACACAGGGTACCGTGTAAAGCACAGCGATTAACCGGGAGCTTCCAGTCCAGGGTTCTGTCCCCAGCAGGCAGTGGGTGAAGTCCCGGGCGAGGCTTCCCTGAAGTTCTGGGCCTGTTTCCCAGGCGGGACAGGACAGTGCCCGAGAGCCTCCTGGTTCTGACATCCCAGGGCTCAACAGCTGTTTATGGGCTCAATGACCCACAAATGGTCGCTGGAATCCCAGCTCCCCAGCATCTTTCCCTTGGACGGAGCTCCTTCCTTGGACGGAGCAGGCAGAGCTCAAGCAATAACCTGCGCTGTCCCCTGGGCCGGCAGTTAGAACCGTGCTGTGTGGAGCACACGCTCCACCAAGACCCTCCCACGCAGGCGGGACCACGAGGTCTGGCGGAGAAACCCGGACCCTGCCCTCCTGGGATGGTGGCCAGGCAGAGAGGCCGTCCTCAGAACACCGTACCCGGGCCAGGGTCTGTGCTTCCCACCCGAAGACAGAGATGAGGACTCGGCCTGTCGTCATCACCAGTGCAGCTGCAGACCCACACAGAAGAGGCTTTCCAGGAGGGTTTAAGGGAGGGAGGGAGGGAGGGAGGGAATAAGGAGAGAAGAAGGGAGGACGCAGGAGAGAGGGAGGGGAGGAAGGAGAGGAGGAAGAAAGGAAGGAAGGGGGGAGGAGGAGGGAGGGAAGGCGAGAGGGAGGGAGGAAGCAGAAAGGGGAAAGGGGACGGAGCAGGAGGGGGAAAGAAGGGGGGAGAAAGAGGGAGGGAGGCCAGAAAGAAGGGGAAAGAGGAGAGAGGCAGGGAGGGGAAAAGGAAAGGGAGGGGGAAGAGGGAGGGAAGGAAGAGAGGACAGAAGGGAGGATGAAAGGGTGGAGGGATGGGAGGCAGGGGAGAGGAGAGAGAGGGAGAGGGAGACAGCCGAGCAGGGCTCTGAGCCCCTCGTGCCCCACCCCACCCTGACACCCTGGGTCCCAAGAGCCGCTCCCAGCAACCCACCTACAGTACCCCTGAGATACGGCACAGCAGCCGTGGGAACCCCAGGCCCGGGAGGGCAAGAGCACGTGCTCCAGGCGCGAGAGGCCACGCGAGCCCAGCCGGGGAGCCCGTGCGTGGGAGGCCGGTGCGCGCCAGGAGAGTCCCGGCTCCCAGCAGGGAGCTGGTGGCAGAGGCCGGCCTCCTCGCCCAGAGCCTCGCGAGGACGCAGGGCGAGCAGCTCACAGGAGGGACAGAGCTGGACAGACG